AGTATAGTCGAGTCAAACTTAGTATAATCAAGTCAAATTCTAGTATAATCGAGTCAAATTCTAGTATAGTCGAGTCAAACTTAGTATAATCGAGTCAAATTATAATATGATACAGTAAATTTTAGTATAATCGAGTCATTTCTAGTATGATCTATTCAATTATAGTATAATCGATTCAAATTCTAATATGATCAATTCAATTCTAGTATGATCGATTCAAATTCTAGTATGATCGATTCAAATTCTAGTATAGTCGATTCAAACTTAGTATAATCGAGTCAAATTCTAGTATAGTCGAGTCAAACTTAGTATAATCGAATCAAATTCTAGTATAGTCGAGTCAAACTTAGTATAATCAAGTCAAATTCTAGTATAACCGAGTCAAATTCTAGTATAGTCGAGTCAAACTTAGTATAATCGAGTCAAATTATAATATGATACAGTAAATTCTAGTATAATCGAGTCATTTCTAGTATGATCTATTCAATTATAGTATAATCGATTCAAATTCTAAAATGAATATGTTACATAATAAAATTAACATGTTATAGAATAAGATGAACATGTTACATAATAAAAGGAACATGTTATAGAATAAGCTGAACATGTTTAGATTCCATATCTACATAACGGGCTCTCACATTATTTTCTCCCATTTCCACTTCATACACAAAATTCTGGTCAATTTCTTGCTCGACTTTCACTCGTTTAATGCAAGCATCCCTGCCCTGAAATAATAAACCATAAACTACAGTTAAGAACTCAAATTTATGCAATAGTCATACTATTGGGAATGAAAGTGAAAAACTAGTAGAATGTAATAGAAATTCCATAAATTAGTCTTTCGATCGAATATTCTCCACCTTCACAAACCAAAATTCTCTCTAATAAGATGAAAATATTACATTTTCACAGATGAAATTTAGATGAACATGTTATAAAATGAGATGAACATGTTACATTAATAAAATGAACATGTTATAGAATAAGACGAACATGTTACATAATAAAATGAACATGTTATAGAATAAGATGAACATGTTACATATACAATAAGGTGGACATATTATAAAACGAAAAATTAGTTGTGTTCAAAAACCTATCAAATGTGGTCTCTATTTATAGATAATGAAAAATTATGAATTTTGGTATTTTTATTTTATTTTTTTAATATAAATAATTAATGATATTTTAATTTATATATTATGTCTCATTTTTCAATTAAAAATAAAAAATTGGGGATGTGCACTACACTCTCCTAATTTCTCTAGTTTTGGAGAGTTTTTGAGAGTGAAAGACGCGTGCAATTGTGCCTTGGCACACCTAGCTAGGCACACGGTAGTGCAACTGCTATGGACTCACTGATGTCCATGTCAGCGGTGACGTAGCGATGGGGAGAAAAATCTAGAACGTGACAAAATGTGAGATTGCTTTTAATTTGCAATTGGGTATGTTTTGACAGGTGATTTTTTTTTAGAAATGTGAATTTATTAACGAAAAACACATGGCTAAATAGTCGATTTTTTTTTTTTAATTACTTAAGATAAGTTTAAATATCACACACAATAGAAAAAAATTAAAAAAGGGGGTGTCTATATGTACACCCCTTGTGTGTAAAAAAGGGGTGTACATATAGCATTGCCCTTTGTGTAATTTATTAAAAAGGGGTGTACATATAGCATTGCCCTTAAAAAAACTCCTACAACAATAAAATTCAATAACTAAATTAAACTAAACTAACGTCTTCCTCGACAGCCGACACATGACTTCACAGGAAACCACGCCACCAATAAAGATGACCACGGGCCCGTAGTTTACGAGCCTTGAACTGAGCTCGTGGTTTGATAAGGCCAGTTCAGGGCCACGTATTTTAGTTATTGAATCGGCGGGCCGACTCTGAATTATAACCGAAACTGAATGTTCGCCCTTTTTTAAACTAAAATTTGTTATTATTATTTTTTTTTATAATAAAACCAGGCCGACTCGGAACATGTGGTTCACTGAACTGGTCTGTACATATGTTCGGGTTGGTTCAGGGCCCTCCTATCCTCGGCCCAGAACTGGGAAATGGCCATGTTTGGCCGCCAACCTTTGAGGGCTACCACTCCCGAATAGATACTCGGTCCAAGGTGTCGAACCTAAAACTACACTAAATGCTCAAGGCGCGAACCCCCAGATTTGACGCCTCTCATTGGAAGACCACCCTCAAACTAGCAAAACGGTGACTAGCCCCAACCACACACCTCACCAACCGACATCCGTACGCTAACTAGCCACTAGAGTCAACGACCCACACCACCAGAGCAGCCCATCGCCCTACCCATAAAACAACGGGGAGTAGGGACCATGCCTGCCCCAAACTCCAACCACCTCGCCACCCATTGGAGCCCAAGTCGACAAGCCACTGGAGCTACAACCTCCTCACCCCCTCCCCCAGCATAAATCTACCATCCAACACCAGGGAAGCATGAGAACATGGAAAAGAAAGAGCTAACCTTGGCTTCAACCACCGCCAAGCGATAATTAGAGCAAGCCGCCTAGCCACGTCGTCAAAATGCCAAAATCGTCTCGAGCAACGAAGAGCCAACTTGAAGAAACGCGGCGCGACGAGATGCTACACGACCGAAGTCGTCAACTTTAATCATTACATTTTATATATTATTTATTACAAATTCAAAGTCTTCAACTCAATTAAATTTATTCGAAATTACTCATTTTAATCAACCAGATCCAACCAAAACAGGTTAGATTCATATCCTATCACGTCTCCATGCCCAAACTCATCAAGATGTGTTGTTTGTTTTTATCAATTAGGAACAATACGAGAACTTGGCACATAAATTATAGAGAAATGCTTATATAATCTTGAAATTGGAGCACTTGAAAAAAAAATAATACAATTATATAACCATCTTATTAATTCATGTGATATCAAATTAGTATAGACATGGCCAAGGGCCGACCCGGCCCGAAGCTGATCTAGAGTTGAAAGATGGACCGCAGTGTTGTTACTATTCTTTTCATGGGCGGTACCAGCCTTGAACCCACCATGTCGGTGAACTGGCCCATATAAATGAACGGGCCAATCACAGGCCATGAAATTGAGGTCCGCCGGCCCGACAATTGGCCACGTCTAAATTAGTCTGGTTTGGTCACGTCAGTCTCTCTTAGAGAACATTTTGTAAACTCTGTCTTGAAACCAAGTTATTAATTCCTTTATAAATAAGTGATTGGAGCTCACTTTCTACACAAATTTTTAATATCCCGAATTACATAATATTTTAAGTGATTTTATGTTTGACGTGAGAGAATTCATGCTATGGGAGACCCCTAGAGTCATTTTGCAGGTTGAGTCTGTTTATGGTTCATGGTGGGAGATGGGCTAAACTTCATTATTAGTACATTATATTGGTTAGTTTCTGAAAACGATCCATCATATATGGCGTCCTAAAAAATAGTCCACTAAGTTGTCATTTTAATTAAAATTCATACAAAAGTCAACATAATGTACTAAATATGACAACGAAAAATGATCACTTTTAGTACACTATGTTCATTATTGTACGAATTTTGATCAAATCGGCAACTCTAGTGGACAATTCTTGATGGCGCCCTAGATGATGAACTTTTTTCAGAAAATGGCCAACATAGTGGTCCATTTTTGAAATTTTGCCATTCGAGATAGGGTGACTATTCTTCATAACCCGGTGGGTCGATATTGTTCCTCAGACATATGATGTATAATAACTGATTGCAATCATATAACTATATATATAATGCCATGTCAAATAAAACGAGTAAACAAACAATAATTTTGAATGATATATGAGATACATATTAAGTGTTGCCTGCAAATTGCATTCAATATCCTTAAATTACAAAGCAAAAATTGCTCCTATTATATTTGTTACTATGATCATCTCATATTTGTCCTTGTTATTGGAACAATTTTGACTTCGGTAGAAAGTTTTTGCAGCCAACAACTTCCTGGCCGGGCCCGGCCCACTAGGTGCGACAACGGTCGGACGGCTTGCATACCCTCCGGTAGGGATTTGCCGGGACCCGATGATGGGTCCGGTGGTGAGCTTTTAGGCCCGAATAAATATTTGGGTCGTCTGACCCATCAGTTGGATCTGTATTAATGATGGCTTCAGATGCATTTGATGACAAAGGAAAAGCAGTCACAACAAATAGCATCAACAAGCACACGGCCCATATCCTAGCCAATGTCATGGTTTCTTTTGCTTTTTTGCCAATTTTTTATTCCAGAATTTTTGCAAAATTTTATTATATATTATGTATATTAATTTTATTATAATTGATATTTATTCTTATTTTTATTTTTTTTGTTTGTGGAAGATTGTTTATAA